TTGACTAAGCACTCCCAACATGGGCCTCGACCCCCTCAGTGAATGGAAGTAGTCTTAATCATAATCAATTCTAGAACACGGTCAAGACCCCTCAGTGTAGTATATAATACGGCCTAAAGATGGCAATGGGACAGGGCGCGAGCCTGCCATGATTATTTATTTATTTTTTTTTTCAAAAATTTTCAGTTAAAATACAAATTCAAAATTTTAAAATCCAAAACAAATAATGTTCAAACTAACGATATCAATATCAAAAGTAAGCACTCGAAATAAACAATGTCCAAAACAATTTTTTTTTAATTCTTCACAGGGCGGGTTCCCCACCCCTCCCCGCTACGCCAGGTTGGTGGAGCGGGTTTTTTTTCTATCACTAATACGGCTAAGACCCCTCAGTGAACTAGAATAAGTATATAATCACGGGTACTTTCTGGTTGATCTCAAGTCACATATATCTCATATTCTAATTCACAAATAATTCATATACATTCTATAAAATTTAGCATATATCATAATGAAATAATATTTCCACATTAATCATGTAATTGGAGAAATAATTCAAATAATTACATAAAATATATAATAGTATAATTAATTTATCAATACTTGACAAATATTTAAATTTTTTCACTCACAGATTAATGAAGAGAAATCTGAATAAATTGACCAGACTTTTCGAACTTTCACGTCACTATCTAAAATTACGGTATAATTACACAAATTAAAATCTGACCATTAAATTAATACAAATCCACCACTTAACTCAGCAACTTCTATATTTATTGTTGCATCTCTATTTCCTCAACTTTTCATCTAATTGATTATTGACCGACAAATCACCACACATAACCTATACCATTAAATTACTCATACTTCTTAAAATCATTACCTCATACATATATAACCTCTACACATGATTTAATCCAACACCTAGACTTCAATATTTATCATTAATTTCATTCAACCCTTAAAATCTAAATAAAAGATTTGACAAAAAACTGCACTAAAATTCCATAGTATTGAATGATGGCATCCATTTTTGTTATTTGCAAAAGAAGTTCCTCATCTTCCAATTATAACATTTGGTAATATAACTTCCAATGATAGGTAAGTGCATCCCCAACTTTAAACTTAATCCATCTTAAACCCTCAATTGTTGTCAGTTATGAAATAAACCCTAATAAAATGATTTATTTCATTTAAGTCCCTAATTGACTTTGGCTTTGATTAGTTGAACATTTGGCTTTCACTGAATAATTTATTGACTTTGACTATAAATAAATGAGGTGTAACAAAATAGGTATCAATTGCTTATTCTGATCATGATTTGGTGAATTTATATTTTCTAACGTGTGTGTTGATTTTTTATTTGGTAAGAAAATATAAAAAGATCAAGTAGGATATTTTAGGATGAAACATCTAGACTTCTTTTATTTCATTGAGTGTCGTATACTCTTTGTCATGAATATCATGAGTTTAGCTACTTATGACCCGAGTTGATTCGAAATTTTTTGAATTTCAACGTTTTTTTGTTGGCTCCACCCCAGTTAGCAAATAAAACAGTTCGCATCAAAACTCTCATTGATCTTAAAATCCTCTGACCGAGTGTGAAGTGATCTTAAAATCCCGAGTTTAGAATGAAGCAATACAACAAATAAAAATGGAGGGACAAATATTTCTTCACCTCCATAATGAAGCACCAACAGTATTTGCAGCAGAAAGTATACAGTTTTTCTTATGTAGGAATTACATTATTGACGGCACATAACCTTCAAAAGGTAAAACTTTCTTGATGGCACATAATTTATGAAAATTTTGAACAAAGGCATTCTTGATGCCACATAATCTGAATGACGGCGTTCTTGATGGTTCATGTAATGTTTTATTAGTTTTCTGGTTTGAGTTCAAATTTATAAAGTGTAGGACAAATGTTCAAAAAGGCTATATAAGCATCATTTCTATGTACTTTCGTCCTCTTACTGGTGAAATTACCTATTTTATGGACGATTTTACAAAAAAGTGTTGAGAACACTTCATGACAAAGTGATGGGTTGCATATTTTTAACAAAATGAGGGCAACTATAAAAAACTTCTGTATGAACAGAACAGTACAAGAATTGCATCTCCTCTTTGATGTCGAACTAGGCAAATAAAACCACCTGGCTGCTCGTCTCACATAACTACGTAATCATCCATCAATCTTTCATATCTATTCACAAGCTCAGAAACATTTGCATAGCAAACCTCCAGAAATGAAGAATTGGAGACCTAGACAGAAGTCATACTTGAAAGACTGCCCCCTGTCCATTTGGGTGTAAAACAATCAAGTGCAAATGGGTTTATTCTATTAGCAGAGATCTTTAGATTACCTCAAAGTTTACCTAATTGCACTTGAAAATTGACGGGAATATTGGATTAATTATCAGAAGAAATTTACTTCATTAGCCAAAATGACTACTAGAAACTTCGTGGGTTCACAAGCATGTCCGGCGCCTTTTCATAATGGCCACTAAAAGTTCATTTTTTACGTGGATATTCTAGAGAAGTCTACGTGCAGCTTCCTCCCAGAGTAACATATAATATGTCATATTTGATGAACTATCTTATCTAAAAGCTTAAATTTATCTGTAGACCTCTTCATGATTTAGATAAGCTCCACAAACATAAAATTTAGGCCAAATATTTATTTCTCATAGACTTGTTCCTTCATTGATTGGCAACTTAATAATTAGTAATGTTGACCTCAATTTTTGTAGAAGTGGCGTTGCCAAAGATCACAGCTCCTGTCACATTCACGTAGCTCTTTCTTGCATACTTGGACAAACCGTTAGAGAGTACTTCCGATCTCCGGTGGTGGGGAAGGTGACCGCAAACACTCTGACGATCAAGTTAGCCTATGTAAGAGTATATTTGGGCGTGGGATGTGCTAAAGACATGAACCACTTTAAGTAAACAGGGGATAGGACCCGGGAGTAATAGTGAGAGTAAAGAGAGTGCAAAGTTATACGTTGAGAGCATAAACATGCATTACCTTGAAATTATATTAAGTGTGAGCTTTTTTATAGTAAAAAAGGATGAGTAAAAGTCGACGGATGAAGAGACATGTGATCTCATCCTAGCAGTTGGGGCCTCTTGTCATTGACATCAATAAATCATTCTTAGGCCATGCTGCATTTAATGCTGCGACGGCTTGATAGCCTAACATGTAATATTAGACTTTACTTGTTTGATTGGTAGAGCTTTCAATTCCTACCAAAGATCTGCTTTATGTTTAGATAGAAACTATGATAGGAATTATATCTTTGTTGAATTATGTAAACTCATTTGGGTATCTTGACCACAAACAATCACGATCTGTAATCCACAATTGTCCAATTGTCATGCTTCCAAAAAAACCCATATAGAGAATAAGAATGAGAGAATTAGAGTTTCTTTTTTCTTGTACTGGCAAAATAATGAGTTGTATTCAATTATTTCTAAACCATGATAGTTTATTAATATAAGTCTAAGTGGGTTTGACATGTCGTTTAAACTTAACCCGATCCAATATATAATTAATTTAATTAATTAAATTTGGTCCATGATTTAATTAATCCAATCAATTAATTCTGGTTTGTTAACAAGCAACATATTAATTAATTATCCAACATTTGTTAATTAATTACTTGGTAAATCTCATTTTTCTAGTACTCTTTTTGTGTGTAATACATTAGGTTCCCGATCACAATGTCTAACCATGTGAATTATTATTTTGATCTAATTAAAATTAAAACACCCCCTTCTAATTTATCATCAATTCACATATGTCGTCCCAAATTGACATCTAGCAATGTGTTAGGGCAATACATGTAACGAAAAATGTCAAGTGGTATGACAAAATCAAACTTGTTCATTTACCGTGAAATTATATTCCTTTCGTCAATATGATACGATCAATTACGTGATATAGATACGTGTTAATCTCAATTATCGATCATATCTTTCATCCCACCATAAAGTCGGTATAAATTGAAAACTCTTTTTCGACTTGTGAGTACACCTTGGCCAAAAATTTCGTTATCAACTTAATTGAATGAAATGTAGATTATAATCTTTTACTATCTAAAAGTGATGAATCCTTTATTGATTATTCACAACTTTCATATGATTCTCGACATACTCGAGCAATGTCGTATTAGCGACCCTTGGTAGAGTAACATCAAATATCATAAAAGTATGACTGTCCTCATATAAGTCCATATGATGACCTCAAGTCGAAGGACCAATTCCATTACCGAACGTTAGAGATTAACCACTGACACTCAGATAGTTATCCACGTGGAATCTTCACAGGGGATCTCTAATGTTTTGTTCTATAACAAAATATCCACGTGTTCATTTAAGTGTCACTACATTTTAACTTCTAGGATCAGCTACTTACCTCACAAGTAAGAAATGCTACATGTGATGGTTTGTCCATAATAACGATATCTATATCTAGTTACTACTTACAATCATGGATGATTTAAGATTTAGTCATATATAATTTGTATATTACAATCAGAATTCCCTGTGATTAACAAATTACTAAGATTTGAATCTACGGACTCTATTATTTAAAATAATTGAAAATTAATTAAATAATAAATCTGCAATAAAAATGCATTAATTATATATTAAAGTGTTTATATCCAAAGTTGATTGAATCTAAGGCATAACATTTACGCTTATCTCACATCATCCATAAGGGCTCAGCTCCCCATAGGGGTTCAGCCAAATTACCGCATGGGGAAAATGACGTGGAGTGTGGGCCTAGGTTCACTTGCTGTGTTGCTACCACTTGGCCATGCTTAGAGCTTCGTTGGAAGATGCAGAACAAGTAATTTAATGATTTAGTCAGTACAAATTAAAATCTAAAGTCATGAGCACTGCAAGCTTCAGCTTAAGTTTGACAGATCACTAATAAGGGCCTAGCCTCCTATCAAGATTATTATTAGTTTGTTGAGTACCATTGCATCAGGAAAATGGCTAGCCCGAGTGGAAGTCCCCAGCCGAGAGGTTGGTTTAGGTTTCGATACGAAGAAGACAGAGAGTCTCCAGCTGATGCCAGGAACGTTCTACTTATGTGGCGGAGCTATAGCAGCAGTGAGTTTTCAGGCCGGCGTCAACCCTCCTGGTGGCATTTGGCAGGACAGCCACGTTGGAGTCGTGAACAAACAATGGGAAGTGCAATATATGCAGACCAAAAACAAGTATTCTATGTTTTCTTGATAGCAGCCAATGCTCTGGCTCTTTCAACATTGCTTACTTATGGACTCCCTTTCTATTTTGAAGTGTGGGTTGCTACTTCGTTTATGTTTGCAACTTATGCATCGGCCATTTTTTGCCATTGCGCCTGATGAATCGATCAGATTTCAATATATTTTGTGTACTGCTGCTGTGCCTTTTGTCATTCAGTTCTTGAACAAGGATAAAAATAAAATGTCTTCCAAATAGTGTTCGTTTGGCTTACAAACTACCAAGCCTAATGCCACGTTTCATTTTGCATGTAGTATTTCATTGTGCTATTTCGTTCTATGAGGAGCATGCTATGAATTGTCAGCTTGTTATAATTGGATGAATACTGATACACCGGATTTTTATTTCATTCTGCACTCGGAATGTGTCTTGATAAAAAGTCCAAGGAATTTGGATATCGCGACACTGGGTTAAGACGTACATGTTCATGGTATAAAGATTTCAGGTTCCATTTTAAAAAGTCAACTTTTTTAGGAAGAGTAGTTCAAATCCTTATATGTTAATTCCAAGATATAAAAACAGCCTAAGCTTATTTGAATGAGGAAACAAGACTTGCTAAAATCTATTTAAAGACTTGAAGTATTAGAAATTTTTGAAAACAAGTTTTCTTGATCTTCAAGAACTAATTAATCTTGTGTTCTTGAAGTAGGTTCTTATTGTAGGATTCTTGGTCATATCTTGGTGCCCACTCATCAGGTCCAGTCTGAACTTGGAGGATATAAAGAAAACTCAAGGTTTTAAGGCAAATTCAAGAAATCATCAAATTGGAGATTTAAAGAATTTATCACGCGGCAAGTATTCTGCTTTAAATGCCTGTGTGATTTATTATTTATATCTTCAACGTATAGTACTAATCTAGAAAAAACCATTGCAGACTCGTATTTTTCAAGGTCTCAGCTTTAGTACTCTTTAGCACTAAACCCAAGTGTAATTGATGCATTAAAAAATTAGTTTAGGACATACAACACTGTAATGACCTATGATCAAAATTTCTAGAAACGATATGGTTGGTTTGGTTAGATGGACACAACAAAACATCTGATAATATTAAAAAAAAAGTAAAAGTCTAATATGATGTATTGTCCTGTCTTTCACGAAAAGCACACATGATGTAAGAAATACAGTGTTTCATTGAGATTTCGAATAGCAGCCCCTTTGTCAAGTTGATTCAATTTCGCCTCTTCATCAAACATTTCCCAATCATGGTCCTCGCGGCTCGACTCATCCATATAACAAAAAGAATCCTCAGATATTTGCTGCTAATACTTCGTACCAAATATGTTTTAACGTCGAATACAATCACAATTTTTAATTGGCCGTTTCATAGGTCAAATTATCTTGAACTACCTTCAACAAGAAATGCATTGATCTCAAACAGCAAGTTGCTGTTGTTGATGATGGGATGATTCATCTTCATTGAAAGATAAGTTAAGCTTTGAAGAAATTCCCATATATAAGGAGGATTCTGACATATTTATCTGTGGCTGAAGTATCATCATTTCTTTCTCTAAGAACGAACAATATTTGTAAAAAGTGGTTGGAGTCACATTCAAGTGGAATCCCAATCCAAATAAAAAATCCACTTCAAGAAAGTTCATCTCAGTTGTGCTGATTCCTCCAACATTAGCATAGCAAGCATTATTGTAATACCTGTATTTTTCAAGTCCATACATAAAAAGGTAAAGTTCCATTAGATTCTCATTCTATACAAAACTTTTGGAATATATTCAACTAAAAGTTTCAGAATTATGGTCCAATTTAGTATTCATTATAATATGTCTAAAAAGTTTAGATGTTAAGATTGTAACATTCAGTTATGAATATTAGATAAAGACCCTTAAAAGCCAATAAAATGAGTGGCTCTCTTTGAGCACCAAAATATATTATACAAAAAGGAAATAAAGAGAGAGGTGGATTTCTTATCTGGACCTCATTAATGTTATT